TTAGCCAAAAAGTCATCCCAAACATACAAGTTTTTTTTACCTACCTTTTTAGCCAAATAGCCAAAAAGTTACTAAATTAGCCTGTTCCCAAACGAGGCCTCAATATCATTATCAGAAGTATCACTAGATGAATGGTAATCTGATGAGGTATTTGAGTTGGGTACGCCAGTGGAGGAGTTACTAGGAGATTGATTTAACTGGAAGATTTCAAATAATTGTTTTTTAGATTCATCATTTATGTGGAGTTGATTAACCTTATCTTTTATTTTCAGGATTATTAGATGGATTGGATCGATTACCAAACAGAACATTGTCTGGATTAGTATCGTTTATATATTAAATAATATAAATAATATTAAAAAACAATTATCAAGCCAAGCTCGAATTTCATTAATATTAACAAGCCAAACCGATCTCGAGGCCAGTTCCTTATCGAGTCGAGCTCGATCTTAATAAACGAACTCGATAAGTAAACGAGCCGAGCTCGATCTCAACAAAGCTCGGCTCAGCTCGTCTCGGCTCGGATCGTTTGCTGCGGTCTGTTCTGTACTAGCGTTGTCTTAGTCCCCAAAGTTTATTTCAACTGTTTATTTTTGTAATATATTTTGTATATATCATTTATAGAAAAATTTAAATTCATTTAATAATTATAATTTATTCAATTTATTGTGTTTATAATAAATAAATAAATAAATAAATTGAATGGCCTATTTTTAAAAAAACAATTATTCTATATTTTTTTAAGAGAAATACGATAAATTAAATAAATTATGATTATGGACCAACTTAATTTTTACATAAATAATATACAAAAATTATCTAATAAAATAAAAAATTCACATTATCAAAATATTCATGACGTTGAGAAGTGATTATGTGACTTTTTAAGGTTAAAATTCACACACACACATACAAAAAAAAAAAAAGAGAGAGAGAGAGAACAAAATAGTTTAAAATAATTAATAAGATAAAATGTCATATCAAATCCATAATCATTTCACTTTTTCTCTCACAAACATTATATTCAACTACAAAAAAAATATAACTATCTTTCTAAATATAAAAATTTTAACCTACTAAAATAGTTAAAAATTAAAATAAGAGGCCATTAAAACGATTTGTCGCTCGGTGACTATCTTCTCAAAACTGGAACAATGCCAAGTCAAGAAGAACGCAAGTCAGAAATGTCCTGCTCCTACTACATAGACAAATTACGTTATCTCATCCACCACATCAATGCCAGTCCTCCTTTTTCAGATTCTTCGAATATTAATAATATTTCGTAGAAATATATTCATGTTTGTCTAGTAACTGATAATTTTTTAAGCATAAAGATTGTATAAAAATGCATATTACGTATATAAAATTTACAAAACAAATTCGGATTATATATATGTATATATATATATTTTTCATCTGGTTAGCAAATTTTGTGAACTATATATATTTAGTTAATAAACACTTATAATTCACATATATATAAGTGATTATTGCATGACCTTACCATTAATTCAATAAGAGCAGTTTTTTCTTGATGTTGTTTAGTGAGGACAGTGATTTGCTTCATAAGTTTACAACAAGTATCATTATATCCTAATTCAATATCATTATCAGAAGTATCACTAGATAAATGGTAATCTGATGAGGTATTTGAGTTGGGTACGTCAGTGGAGGAGTTACTAAGAGATTGATTTAACTAGAAGATTTCAAATAATTGTTTTTTAGATTCATCATTTATGTGGAGTTGATTAACCTTATCTTTTATTTTCAGGATTATTAGATGGATTGGATCGATTACCAAACAGAACATTGTCTGGATTAGTATCGTTTATATATTAAATAATATAAATAATATTAAAAAACAATTATCAAGCCAAGCTCGAATTTCATTAATATTAACAAGCCAAACCGATCTCGAGGCCAGTTCCTTATCGAGTCGAGCTCGATCTTAATAAACGAACTCGATAAGTAAACGAGCCGAGCTCGATCTCAACAAAGCTCGGCTCAACTCGTCTCGGCTCGGATCCGGATCGTTTGCAACCGTAATTGCGATCTGTTCTGTACTAGCGTTGTCTTAGTCCCCAAAGTTTATTTCAACTGTTTATTTTTGTAAGATATTTTGTATATATCATTTATATAAAAATTTAAATTCATTTAATAATTATAATTTATTCAATTTATTGTGTTTATAATAAATAAATAAATAAATTGAATGGTCTATTTTTAAAAACACAATTATTCTATATTTTTTTAAGAGAAATACGATAAATTAAATAAATTATGATTATGGATCAACTTAATTTTTACGTAAATAATATACAAAAATTATCTAATAAAATAAACAATTCACGTTATCAAAATATTCATGATGTTGAGAAGTGATTATGTGACTTTTTAAGGTTAAAATTCACACACACACACACACACACAAAAAGAGAACAAAATAGGTTAAAATAGTTAATAAGATAACATGTCATATCAAATCTATAATCATTTCACTTTTTCTCTCACAAACATTATATTCAACTACAAAAAAAATATAACCATCTTCCCAAATATAAAAATTTTGACCTACTAAAATAGTTAAAAATTAAAATAAGAGGCCATTAAAATGATGTGTCCCTCGGTGACTATCTTCTCAAAACTGGAACAATGCCAAGTCAAGAAGAACGCAAGTCAGAAATGTCCTCCTCCTACTACGTAGACAAATTACGTAATAAGTGATTATCGCATGACCTTACCATTTTACCAATGCAAGTTTGAATGAATGGAAAAAAAAAAATATTTGAATGAATGAACTTTGCTTTTCACGTTCATTACATTTTCTTTCTAGAGACATCAACTTTGTTGACTTCATTGATGAATGAAACTCCCAAAATTCTTTGCCGTGTTAAGAAAATTTATCCCAATTTTTCAAATAAAAGTTCTTTGTATCTTGTTTCTCAAAAAATTAGACCGGTTCAGTCTAAACTGTTAACCCGCCACATGTCTTGATACATTCATCGTTAAGATGATTGTGTGAAGAACATTTACAACATGTATATACATCGATCTCATAGTTATAGTCAAATAATTTTATATATATATACAGGGCCGGCCCTGCCCTAAGGCAGGTAAGGCTTGTGCCTTAGGCCCCATATTTTGGCCTAAAAATAGGGCTCCCAAATTTAAAAAATTATTATAGGTTCAACCTTTTTTTTTTTTTTTTTTTTTTTTTTTGATTTTAAGATCAATTTAAAGGGCCCCAAATGTTTTATTGGGCCCATGTACAATTTAGCTCATATTTATTTATAAATGTGTTTGGCCCATATTTATTAAAATGAAAATATATAAATAAATAAATAAAAAACAATAGGGCCCCTAAATTTGGTAAAACATATAAACATATATAACATAGGGCCCTTTTTCAATATAAAAGGGCCCCCATTACCGAAATTCGCCTTAGGCCCCGACGAACTCAGGGCCGGCCCTGTATATATATATTCTTTTTAAAACATAGATGAAATTTGGCCAAAATTATGTAGTTACGATTATTAAGTTAATTTATTTCATAAAAAGATCTACATATACTCGTAACCTTAAAAATAATTGGAATTGATCATCAAAATAAATCATAGGATGTGCCAACAATAGAGGATTGCGCCAATTTAGTTAATAAAAAAAATGAAGACAAATCAATTTCTTTCGTTAAAATTCAAAATACTTGTTTTGCGAATTGTTTCCGTAAAATTTGCATTCGGAATTTTTCTTTTCCCAAAATCAATCCACTTTTCAAGAAAATCAAAATGTTTTTTTTAAATTTTAAAAAATTTCATTTTACAAAAAAATTAAATAAATTATATATATATACAAAAGATGAGTTTTTTTTGTCCGAAAATTCAAAAAGGGAAACAAAGACAAGGTACAACCATTTATTTATTTTGGTGTGGACATTAGACCTTTTTTTTTTTGTTTTTGGGAACAAAGACATTAAACCAAATTGAGTTTACCTTTTCAGGTCTTTAACCGTAATAATGAAACTCATTCGGTGATAGGTCTCTTAATTATTATTGCTTGTAGCATAATTGAAGAGGAAAAAAAAATGAATTAAAAATTCGTTTGAGATTAGTTCATTATGTAAAAAAAAAAAAATTAAACTTAAACAAATCTTAATATTTTTCAAGTTAGACTTGTACAATTTATTATTCAGCTTAACTTGATTACATGCATTATAGAAAATAAAAAATAAAAAAGCCAAAACTACTTGAGTTCAATTCATAATCTACTCGATTGAAATAGGCTCAAAATTAAACAAATTAAGTTTCAATACATTTTTTTTGAAACTTTGTTGATTATCCAAATCTCAAAGTCAGATTTCCAGTTTTCAATTCGTATTTTTTTTTTATTATTGTTTGTGAATTTTTTTAATATTTTGATCAAACTTTTTAAGTTTTTAGATGCATTTAATCTAGATACTCAAAAAAATAAAATATTTGTGAAGAAATATTTTAACAATTTAATAAATATAAAAAAAAATACCAAAATGTGCAGACTTTTTGTATTTTATTTTATTTTTTTGGTATTTTGTAGTAATTATTATTTTTTTCCTCACGAATATTTTACCTTTTGAGTACATCTAGATTAGAGTTATCTAAAAAATAAAAAAATAAAAATCAACTAAAAATAAAAAATATAAATTGAAGACTCAAAATTTAATTTTAAAAACTGCATAACTAAATATAAATTTCAACAAGTTACTGTTCTGCTCAACTCAACTCAAGTACAATCTAATGTACAATCCAATGCGTACTCGGTCTCCTTTTCATATTATTCAAATACCAATGTCATAAATTACATAAATAAATAAATAAATAAAAATGTTGCGTCACACTTGGGTTTAAATTCCTATGTTCATACACAACATGTTGAATTTAAGAACCTTGTAGTCAACTCCCCTTTCCATCACCACATAATATATATATATATATAAAGACCCTTTCATGAAATGTTATATAAACTCACAAGAGAGCCCTCTGATATTTCAATCTCTTATCAAACAATCTGAGTCTCTCACACCCTCTCAACCTTCATTTCTTTATCTATCATCAAAAACATGAAGCAACAAAGCAATCCCATTTTCATTTTTGGATCTCTTCTCATTTTCCTTCTTCTCTGGCAGTTAACATCAGTCACAGCACAAGAAGTTGGTAATGGCCTAAACATACAAACAAATACATATATATATATATATATATGTGCTTGCTTGTTTTCAATTCATTTGATTTTTGTTCCTTAGCATTATGTATTGTTGGTTTTGATGTATTCAATGTGTGAATTGAATGGTGTAGAGGATGAGACAGATTTTGATTATTACAAAGGAAGCGTAAAGGGTCCGGAGCGATGGGGAGAGATAAAGGAAGAATGGGCAGCTTGTAACCATGGAGAAATGCAGTCTCCGATTGACATGGCGAATCGGAGGGTGAAAATAATCAGAAAATCAAAGGAGCTAGTGAAGAACTACAAGACTTCCAATGTAACAGTGAAGAACCGAGGCCACGATATAGCGGTGAGGAAAAATTACTAGCCCCCACCCCAATCATAGCTTTAAATATCGGCCCAATTCAATACTTTCTTATATTCTTTCTTTTTATAAACCAATACAATCTCGTAGATTATGGAAATGAAATTTGCATTCAAATAGACCAATTCATAATCGATTGACAACTAATACGGCTGGTTCACATCTAATACTACTACCATAAAACTTATTTTTTTCTCCAAATGATATTAGAAGTCAGTCAGAAAAAGTGAGTCACTGATTCTGATACAAGATACTATTATTACTGCCTGAATAATTAAACATCCAACCCGTAATCGCAATGACCCAATTGAAAGAATGGAGCTCTGCTCCATTGGCAAGACTAGGATAGAGTTGAGCCAAAAGATCCCAATTTCAGATAAATTCACAAGAAAGTGGTATTGCATCACCCAATTTTCAATGCCTATTCGTTTCCCGACCATTTGAAACCATGCCACCAATGCAATAACTAGCTAGCAGTCACTTTATATATATTTACTAGCATTAAACTCGTACTATACACAACTAATGTATATATATTTTTGACATATTAATTTTTACTTAATAAAATACAATAAAAAAATCACTGTGTAGCGCATAATAAACACAAAAGATTAAAAATTATGTAAAACATTGACAATGTAATGCTAAATTATAAATCAATTAAACAAATTAAATTATTTCAAAATTAAATGCAAATCAATCCAAATAATAATGCAATTAAATATACACTAATTTTTCATCCATTTAAACCAAAAGTAAAAATAAAAAAATTTTGATGATGAAATATCATTATATTCATTTTATACAAATAACATTAATAGTCATTACTCGTTATATCATTTTAGTCCATACACTTTCAATTTAATCAATTTTGACTCTTAATTTTAGATTTTATGACTCTTAATCAATTACTCCTTCTACTATTTCCATATTTATATAGACATAAAGTTACAAAAATTTCACGTCTCTTCCAATTCCTTTTTATGTTTATTTTTTCCAATATAAAAAAAATGTACCCCATTGGCTGGTCTTCCATTCACCACTAGAAAAAACACTTTCCGTGACGAACATGTTTGGTCGCGAAAAGTACCATATTTGGTCGCTAAAACCTTTTCGCGACCAAAATACGTTGGTCGTGAGTTGATCGCTAAAGCCTCGTGACAGATAGTTTTTTGCGATCAAAAAAGCCTTTGGTCGTTAAAAGTGACCATTCGCGACCAACTTTTTTGGTCGCGGAAAGTCCAATTCATATTAGCCAAAAGGGAACTTTTAGCGACCAAAAAAAGTGACCATTGGCGACCAACTTTTTTGGTCGCGAAAAGTCCAATTCATATTAGCCAATAGGGAACTTTTAGCAACCAAAGTAAGTTGGTCGCCAAAAGTCAGCGCCTTGACCCAAAAAAATTAATTCTTTTGCGTTGCCTAAGACTTGAACTCCTGACCAAGAAGTCACCATGCACCCAATGCACTCTGCCAATAACTTGCTTCTTGTTCATATTTGGTAGAGAAAATATATAACCCATAAAAATTGGGTTATATATTATTTTATAAAAATTTTAATGCCTAAACAGAAAAATAGCATGTAATTACAGTAGTATCCATTTTTTTAAAAAATTATCCCGCCATAACTTTCTGCGGCCAGCTTTTTTCTTTGGTTGCCAAAGGGTAATCTTCTGCGACCAAAAAAGCCCTTGGTCGCCAATAGGTATACTTTCCGCGACCAACATTTTTTTTTGGTCGCCAAAGGGTACACTTTTCGAGACCAACATTTTTTTGGTCACCAAAAAGTATACTTTCCGCGACCAAAAAAGCCTTTGGTCGCCAAAGGGTATACTTTCCGCGACCAACATTTTTTTGGTCGCCAAAAGGTGATCTTCCGCAACCAAAAAAGCCTTTGGTCGCCAATAGGTATACTTTCCGCGACTAACTTTTTTTTTTTTGGTCGCCAAAAGGTGATTTTTCGTGACCAAAAAATTGTGGTCGCCAAAAGTTAGATTTTAGTTGCAGAAAGTGGACTATTTGCGACCAAAAAAAATAGGTGGTCACCAAAGGTGTTTTTTCTTGTAGTGATTAAAAAAATACTTAAAAAAAATATGCACATACATACTTTGATTTTTAAAAAGCCACATGATCGGTAAAATTTTTAAGTAATTTACCTCATATTGACAGTAAAAACTCCTTTCGATTCCCCTTACACTGTAGTTAAAACTCCTTGTGATTCCCCTTGCGTCATTATTATAAAGATGCCAAGCCCAAATTTATCATCACTTTTGTTTTATCTATAGAAGGGAGCTTGGTGCTCTTATTGTGCTGGAGCTAGATTTAGCTAACAATTAAAATGATTTTTTTTATATTTTGTATTTATTTCATTTATACGAAACAAATATGAAAAATTTTATTAAAATTAAAATAAATAAATAAATAAGATATATACAAAGAAATTGGCTAAAATAACCCGGCAACAACTCATATTAAATATGAATATCCATCATTTAAAATATATGGATCATATTCATAGTTTAATCTCCACAATTCGCTTGTTTTTTAAGCTAAAATCTCTAAATAATTTTTTTATATTTCTATTTTTTCCCCTATACTTAAAAGAATTATGTTGTCATTATGTTTTAAAAAAATAAAAAAATAAAAAATTGAGGACCTAACATGCAACACTCTCCCCATTGTTATATCTTCTTGAACCTTTAAATATAATTATAGAAATATTTGAAGTTTGGTATATGTAACCATATATATTATGGTTCCAATTAGAATAAGGAAATTCTAAGGAAACAATATTAATAAATTTTGGTAATGATCAAGAAGATTTAAAAATTAATTTAATTTATATAAATTATATTTTGAGCTAATCATAGGATGACATGAGTATTTGATGTGTTAATTGAGGAAAATTGAGAAAACTAGAGAGATTTTCAATCTCAAAGAGGTCACAACCTTTTCATTTATATTATATAATTTATACAAAATTTCATGTCCATATGTAGGTTAAATGGACTCTTGGTGAAGCTGGATCAATTAAAATCAATGGCACTGAGTACCAACTCCATCAAGGTCACTGGCACTCTCCTTCAGAGCACTCCATCAATGGCAGAAGGTCTCTCTCTCTCTCTCTCTCTCTCTCTCTCTCTCTCTCTCTCTTATAGTAGTATTTTAGTATGTATCATCAACTAAGGAAGGAAGGGTACAATTAATGTTTGTGAATAACAATAATAGGTATGCCATGGAACTACACATGGTTCATGAAAGCCCACAAGAGAACGGAGAGACTAAGATTGCTGTAATTGGTGTCTTCTACAAGATTGGTCGACCCGATCCTTTTCTCACTCAGGTATATCAGTTTCACTATTGCTACAAATTAAAAAAATAAAAAATCACAAATGTGTCTCGGTAATACAATATTCATTCTGGTATAATATGAATTCAATTCAAAATTAATATAGGGATCACAAATCTATAGACATTTTTTTTAAATATATGAATTTGATAGTTTTTGTTGTATCTTTGACAAATTCGTCAAGTTTGAAATAAATAAATAAAGCTTGTACCAAAAAAGTCAAATAATAAAGATTTTACAAAAAAGCCAATAATGGTATTTACCAAACCTTGTCCTTTTTTTGATCTAAAGTAACTTCTAGGTGACATTGTTAGAAAATTTGTTCAGGTTTCTTAAACTATTGAATAGCCTTATTGTATAGCTCAAAAATATTTGGAACCCTTAAAATTGGGAATTTTTATGACTTTAAAATGATGTGGACTAATTATGTATTTTTATTTTTTCCTAAACCAATCACAACTGAGTGGAGTTGTGAAAATTGTGTTTTTAATGGAGAAGGATCGACGCCAATTTAGATCTTTGATTAGAGGGTATTATTTGGATCAATGGGACTTATCATGGGTCCTGTTTCGATAATTTTGAGGGTATTATTTGGACCAATGGGACTTATCATGAGTCCTGTTTCAATAATCTGAACTCTTCATTATGTCGAATACTTTATATATTTTAATCACATAAAAAATTAAGTTGATCTGATAATTGTAATTTATTTAATTTATCAAGTTTTTAACTAAAAATTTGGAGTAAGAAATAAATAAAAAATAAAAAAAAAACGTAGCTTTTGCTGCAAAAGTCAAGTTACCAAATCGTTTGTCATCTAATATATAAAAAAAATTAAATTAAATATCACATTTTTTACTCTTAAAAATTACGTTTATAATAATTTTCTCAATACATTAAATTTTTTAACTTCTAAAAAAATTTAAAAATAATTAAAAAAAACCAACCCCAGACTAGTCATACTTGCAAGTTGCAATGAATCTAGCCATATATTAAATTATTATTTTTTAAACGTGGGCAAAAATTCTGAATACTTGTTTTTTTGTTTTTTCTTTTTTGTTTTTGATTTTTTATCTAATGGGTAGTGTTAACATTAATTTTCAGTTGATGAGGAATATATCAGATATGATTGATCAGAAAGATGAGAGACACTTTGGGATGGTTGATCCAAGAGATATCAAAACGGGTGGCAAAAGATATTACAGATACACGGGCTCGCTCACTGTTCCTCCTTGTACTGAAGGTGTTGTTTGGACCATTAATAAAAAGGTAAAACTTCTCACTATATTTTAATAAGTTCATATCAAGCCATTATTTTTATCTGGCTCTTTTCCCTCTCATAGCCAATTCAAATGACATCTTTAACATAAATTTAAACTATCTTTAGGTGAGAACTGTTTCGAGGGAACAAGTGAAATTACTCAGAGAAGCTGTTCATGATGTAAGTAGCTACAATTGTGTTACTTTGTATAAAAAAAATGTACACAAAAATGTACACATAGTAAAGAGGGAGTGAATCGTCTCTTTCTATTACGTGCAGATTTATGTGTAAGTAGTTAAATTTTATTGACTAATGTCACTTGTTTATAATTTTGAAATAATTGTGTATTTTAACTTAGACATTATTTTTCTATATATCTAATTAAACTTTGTAAATAACTATTTCATTATTGTTTAAAAAAAAAAAAAATGAAGAAGAAGAAGAAGCTATATATAGAATGTAATAAGTAATTGTTGTTAACAAATCAATAGTTCAAAATTAATGAAGGCATTGACATATATTTCATGTTTGATTTCATTTCACAGTATGCAGAGCAAAATGCAAGACCACGGCAATCACTCAACGATCGAGAGATTCGCCTCTATAAGCGCTGGTAGTATCATAGAGGGAGCACATAATAACCATTCTTCTACATACACAAAAATTAATTACAGATTCAGATATGACTCTCTTGCATATGAGATGCGATCCGGTTCTATAGTCAAATTCTGTGTACTTTAAAATATTCTAAAAATAATTGATGAGAGGAGCTATCGACACATTATTGTTACTATTTATTTTTTATTTCTGGCTGGAAGATTCTTTTTTTTTAAAAAACTCTATCCATTTATTATCAATCATCTTATTAATGCTAACATTTTGGTGCTTTATTTATGTTATCCAAGTTCTTGTATTAATAATATTTACATTTTAGATTTAGTAATAAAATTGTGCATCTCTTGCCATTAACAAAAATCAAGTTCATAGTAAGGATAATAGATAGACAGTCTTTCTACTATTTTTTGGTGAAGAAGGCAATCCCCAATTGAAAATTTCTACTTATTCATAAAATTCATACAAATTCATACAAAGAAAACATGATAAGAATGATGTGATAATATTATTATTGTAAATAAATTAATCTTCAATAGTGTTTTGTTTTAAAATGAAAGGTCCATAATAAGTCACATCATTATTATATAAATTTTTTTATTTGTACAACATTACTCTTTCCAATTTAATGGCTGACAAAAAAAATATACCTTCACTAATTTAAAAAATGTGGGAACAAATTGAGACAGATAGAACTCATGCAATCAGAGACGGAACTATGAGAAGACTATAGGGAGTTATGGCCCCATATGTTTTTGTGAAAAATATGATTTGTCATGGCATTTTAAAAATATATATATCATTTTATACATAAAATGACCTCCAGTATAAAAAATACATATTTCATTCTTATCTCATCTTGTATTCTCTTTTTATTTTACACCAAAAAAAACTTTTTCATCCTATTAGAAATTACTTCTATGATATTTGAATTTTTTTATGTGTATAATGTTGGAAAAAATGATTTTTTAGTGGCTTTAATGTGAAATTAAAATAGGTCTCAACTATTGGTTGATGTAGGATTAAATGAGTTTAGATTCTTCTTTAACAAGGTCTTTAAACCACAAAAAGAATGACCAAAAATCATTAAGAATTGAATGAGAAATTGTCTGATAAAGTTGACCTCATAAATGAGGTATTGGGAATTGTGTATAGCTATCAATCACACATTGATTGTAGAGGAAAATTTTGATGGATATTTAAACCTGAAGATTATGAGTAGGGCATGAGCCCTTCGAGATATCCAAATTTTCCGAAGGAATGGAGTTATGGATGTTTCAAGGATAGGTTTGAGCCCAGACTATGGTCCAAGTTGGATATGGAAAAATTGCTACTCGCGTGCTGCCCGGACCGGGTCGGGTCTAGGTTCATGGATCTTGGGCTTGGGCTTGAGAGTTGGCCCAAGACTATGTTCTAAGTTAGTTATGGAAAAATTGCCATACACGCGCCGCTTGAACTAGGCCGGGTCCGTGGATCGTAGATCTTGGGCTTGAGGCTTGAGGCTTGCCGGAATGGGTTAGGTTCGGACTGGGCTGGACTAGATTGGAGGTACACCAACCTAAACTTTTTGGGCCATTCTGCTGCAGATATACACACTTATGTATATAGAATATATATCTCATATTATTGTCCCATCAGTTTTGGTCCATTACACACTTGTGTATACATAATATATATCTCATAATATTGTCCCGTCAGTTTTGGTCCATTACTCTAGCATTTTTGCAAGAGTAATGAGCATTGGTTGCCAACCTTCATAGGCATTGGTTGCTGGCCTCCACTACATGGCTGGAGGTTCCTCCTCTCTCCTTCATTATGTATAAAAGGAGGCCCATCTTCCTTGGTTTGGTACAGATTTTTTGTTCTCCTATTTTAGTCTAGTCAGTCTCTATCTATGATATATTCTTTTTGTGTAAGAGAGTGCTGTCATTATCGGTTTGTCAAAATTAATATAAGGTACTTCTGCGTTAGCCAGTCTAAACCATCTTATCTTGTGAGATAGAAGTTGATGTTCCTCCAACACCCACGGTAAGGTAGCTAATTTGTTTTAAGGACACTGGGTATCATACAGAATTTGGTTTGATTCCTTATTTTCAATATTTCGATTAAATGTGTATTTCTATTAATCATCTTTCATGTTTCATGCTCTAGAATGTAATTTATCAAATATGGATTTATTTGATATTCTATTATTTAATTTAATAAATCATGAATTTATTTATTTTATTTAAATTGCATAATTTGTACAACATATAGATATAATTTATATATCATATTTGTTAGAAATTAGGCTGCCATGTGGCATGACCCTTTGAACCTTTTGAACCTGAACCTTTTGAACCTTGTCCATGTAAGTTTGAATTTTAATTCAAAACTTATTTAGATAACCATTCAGGATATCTATATCTATCATATCAATAGATATGGATAGATGGATAGATAGATATTGGTGGTTATATATCTGATTATATATTTTAAATAATATATTGATATATCAGATACGTATATCAGATACGTTATGTGATTTTTACCCATAACCTTTTTTTCCTAGACTCTCTCTCTGACTCTCTCCCATTAAACAGCGATCAAGCCATTTTGCATTATGACTTGTGTGGATAATACTCATTTTGTAGTATCACTCCACTGCTGGGTTCATTGTTCAGATTCTGGAAGCATGTGATTTACCCGCAAGGTTCTATCACCTAAAGGTATGATCTAAATGTTTTTTCAGCTGCGTTATAATACTATGATTTACATTGGTATCAGAGCCAATATGGGTATTTTCGTGTTTTTTTTATGAATTAAAATAGGTGTATAATTTTATATAAATATATACACATTAGATGCATGAAAATTAATGAAGGAGGAAGATGAAGTGCATGGTTTCTGCACTTCCACTCTCATTAGCTTGAGAGTGTAAAAAATACATCATTTTTATGTTCATTAAATGCCATTTTTAAGACCATAAATGTTTTTATTTTGAAAAATAGAGTCCGATAGTACCAAAATTGAACCAGAAAACACCCTAGAAAGCGGCGTGTGAGCTGCACGCGCCTAGTGACGCCGTCAGTGGCGGCCATGCGCTGCCACTCGCTAGGCGCGCTTTCACGCGCTGCCACGCGCGCGCTGTCCGCGCCCTTCCATACCCACGCGTTAAACCGCACCGCTTCAAGCCGCGCCACGTGCGCAGCCACGCGCTCGCCATGCGTCGCTCCGCGTTGAGCCATCTCGCGTCGTGTGCTGAGCCGCACGTTGAGCCGCGCCATTTTTCCTCCGCGGCTTGGCTGGCTTGGCTGCTGGTACAAAGGCGTTGTTTGTTTTGTTTTAAATTCTGAATCGCGTTAAATGGTCATAATTAATTCGTTATAGCTTTGTTTTAAGCATGGTTGGTACCATTAGACTCAGAATTAAATTTTTTATCTTCTGTAAAATTTTCAAAATTTTATGAAAATAATAATAATTCATTATTTCTGCTTTAAAATGCATCTGGTGTTGCATGATTAAGTTTCTGGGGCTGAATTTTTTATTGTAGACTATTGTTGTAGTTTACTATTTACTGGTATGGTTATTGCATTTTACTAGATTCGGGAATATTTATTTCTAATTTTATGTGTGTTTATTAGTTATTTAAAATTCCAGAAAATACCAGAAAATTCTAGAAATTTTCAGAAGTGACATACTTTCTGTTATGGCATAATTTGAATATTAAATACAGCATATTGTTGTTTTTTTCCTAGAGTTTCTAGTATGTTGTAATTAGAATAGCATGATTAATTGTTATTTGTTTAAATTCCATTATTAATTGTGACATAGCATGAGTTGGTTGTGAATCTACATTATGATGCTATTGTATGGAATTAAAAAATTTTATAATGCTTTTAAACATGTTATAGTCAGTGGGAGGTTATTCGGTTGAGAAAAATCTTTGTAGATTAACTCCCGAAAACCAATATTTTGCGCATAAATTAAATTAAATTTTGGATAATTGTCACCTGTGGCGCAAGAGATGATTACGAGCATAGCGGATTTTCGATCTTGCGACTTGTGTAATATTGTCACTATTTAATTTAGATTTTTGCGGCAAAATTATATTATACCAATCAAATTAATCCTAATGCGAAAAACCCTCCGGGTCATGTGCATATAGGTAAGCAGCTTTGTGGTAGTGTAACTAAGTCACATACAGTTTTATTAGTAAAGGTGACGTTTAATTGGTTGACCTAGACTTAGTAAAAATGTTCAAATGTGAACAATGTAATCCTATTCTTTAGATGTGCAAAAGTCTTGGAGACTTTAGGTCAAACCTTAATTGTGCCAAAGTAAGGAAACATGACTCAAAGTCGCCGTGGTTTTGTTGCCTTGTTTGGCACAATAAAAACTAATGTGTGCGCTATGGTTAGCGGCATGCAACGTAGTTTTGGTTGACAAGTTTTGGAGTTATGAAATTATTAAGCCCTCAATAGATCTCTATATGATCTTGACTATTGAGCTGCGCAGATTGCCTTTGTAATTTGACTTGTAATGATGTTGCATCATTGGATGAAATATCATTCAAGAGTCACGTTATCCAAGAAATGCGAGCTTAAATGAGTTAGTCATTAAGTGTAAGACGAGTAGACAGTATGAGCAGTGTTTTGCTCTCTATCCAACTGTTGGGAGTGGATGGAGCAAAATTTCACGCACTTTAATAGTGTGCATTGAATTATCACTTGAAGTTAAAAGATTAGCTTTTAGTAGTAGAAAAATCTATTAACACTAAGTGAAGAGATTAGCGCCAAGTGGTTGCAAAATCTATTAGCATTGCCAACTTGTCTTAGTCTGGACACTTTACTGTTTCCACACTTGAGTGTGAGACATGAGGAGGTGCTTCTTTGTATAATTCCTTAGCTAGGCTAATGTTTTGAATAACGTTTATCACTAAGAGCAAACGTTGCCGCATAGTCATGAAAAGGTCAAGGCCGACAAGGTTGTTATGACTCTAAGAATTTGACGCATCACTTGTAAAAGCATTGTGTTGAATTAGACTCTTTAGCCTAATCCATGCTTAAGTTACTTCAGGAGCTGTCATAGATTGATAGCTTATTCTCTCCTTCTTGTGGATAGTAGAATTAATTGCAAGTAACTATGTAGCGAGAAACATAGATGGCAAGAGGAGTATCGTCATCTTTCAATTAGATGCAGTAAAGTGTATGGAGAATAAAATTAACTTGAAAGTGTAGGGGATTAGCACTTACTAATTAAATTTGCGACTTAGGCGCACTTGGTATCTCCATGACAT